TAGTGGTTCACCTACTCCACATTGGGCAACAAACCATCTGTTCTAATTAGCGCATCCGAGTAGGATTAAGGCAAACAGGTGCACCAAATTGACAAGCTGATTTTCAGCCACAATCCCCCATCCTCCTCCTGCGCAATTTCATACCATTTACCTGAACTATGGCGCTTTTGTGCACCGCATCATACAAACTGAGCGTTTTTCTAATGTGTACAGTTACCTCCTTTCAACTCCGAACTCCAGATGTGAATGCTTTGGCGAGCACTGCCTGCCTCCGCCGATAAGAAAATATAATTCAAAATATGTTGCACTCGACGGGCTAGAGGAGGATGGATTCAATCCAGCCCAATCCGTTTTGGCCTACTCCGAATTCCGCTACCTCTGTACAAGCAATAAGCAGTCAGAAAAATTTGATCCATACTTTTTCACTCCCGGTGGGCTTTGTACTTTTTTGTACAACAGTAATTCAAATATTTTTGTCCATATCAGCTGTTCGTGACGCTGTCAGGTTGCGCAAAATTATCTGATATGCGCACGCGTGTGTGCTCGTGTGCCTATGGAGATTAAACATTTTCTCTCGTATTTCGGTGAATATTCAACTGTGGCCTTCGGAAATTGTCAGTTTCAAGTAAAAGATTATGGTATACCGGAGTGCCTAGGAGACCACTAGAATTGGAAAATGTTGAAAGTGACGTATTATGAAAAAGGTGTACTTCTAAACCAAAGCAAACGAACCACTCAAAGCTCCACTTCCCAACATTGGTTCAAACCCCAATCAAGTGATACAGTTGGTTCATTTTCCAAAATCGATAGACTATAGACATTTTGTATGTTAGTTGCTCAATGCCTGCATTTTCAAAATTTTGAAGGTTTATTTTTACCAAATATCACTACACATATTGCCTCCGGTGACTAGTCCTTGTTATGCCACGATTGATGAAATTGAAGCGGATGAGTAATCTTATTTAATCATTCGTTTTTCCGCTACCCAGCACGGTTGAAATTGCACATTTTAAATAAATGTCTCTGGAAATGAACGCATGCCACACAATGTGAATAATTCTGCTTAGTTAAATTTCGTCGTCGTCTAAGTACTGCGGGGGTGGCTAAAGCATTGCAGGTTTTGGCTGAAGGACTGTGGGTCAAGGCTAAAGGACTGCGGGTTTTGGCTAAAGCTTGATGCGAAAAGGTGTAGTTACGCTTGAAAAACCCTTGGGCAACCGCTGCATGAAGACTCGACCAGTAGTAACTGTATAAACCGAGGAATTGTCCACTAACATCCACACCGATTCGAGTTGAAAGAAACGTGGGCTCATCGCGAAACATAACAATTCGAGTAAAGAGACCAATCATTTCATGTGAAACGAACTAATGATCTAGTGATGCGCAAATATCTGTCTTCGTTTAGATGGTTTTTAAATTTAAACGCACCTCGGTTGTCAACTGGTTCTATTCACTGTTGCTGACGTGCTCTGGGCTCAAACACCTGAGGTTCGAAACCTGCCAATTTCATCTGAATTTGGTGACCGATATCCTAGATATCCTTCTCCTCCTCAATGACTATTTGGGCCTTGCGTCGTTGGGTGTTCTAAGTTCCTGTTTCTCTTTAGGAATTACCAGATCCTCGTGAGCACTGGTCATCTGAGGTTCATCTTACATAATGCAATGCAACAAAAAGTGTGACTCGCATCTGATCATTGCTCCATATTGTGACATTTACGTTCCATCGGTTACTTCACGAATTATATGTTCGTAGACGCTACGGTATTTTATAGAAACTGATCGATATATATATCCAGATTCCCGAAAAATTTCATGCGTTTTTAATGACCAATCAACACACTCCAAGATATTGTTCGAAAACTCCGGTAACAACCAAATCCCGTGTTTCACAGGCTCTCCGCCGTGATTAATCTTCATCATCAATTTAAACGCCTCTCCCTCAAAATGTTCACCAGTATTATGAAAAACTAGGCTGAGATTGACTTTTCTGCCAATGAAAAAATTATTTACCAAACTTACTGGCTTGCAATATGCATTTGATTGTTGCAAAGCTTACCGGTGTGTGAAATCAAATGAATTATACCGGATAGTATGTTTGGTATCGCTGACATTTTGGTTTGCACTGAAACGCCAGAGGGGAACAGTGTGATTCCTCGGAATGCATTTTCTTCTCTGCGAAGTGAAACAAACAGCACTATTTAATCATTATCCGGATCGTCGAACGTACGCGCTTTGAACTGTCACTATCGGACCGTGCACCGCGGAACGTCGACTTGGAAGCCCAGTCGCTTCCCAGTCGATGAGTTTCATCTTATGTAACGTATTCAATAACTCCTCTATAATTAAGAGATTTAAATAATCATTACTATGATAGTCCCAAAATGCGGAGTAGCCGCAGGAAACAGATGCGAATGTGTCAGCCCGTCAAAACCACTGACAAATTTATCTGTTCCTGAATTAACCAGACAGTGCTTTGTTGCTTGGTACATGTCTCTGTTTCTTGACTGCTTCTTAGTCCATCATTCATTCATCTGTCTGTTGCCTGTTTGTCTATCTGTTTACCTGTCTGTCCATTCTTTTATCTATCTTAGTATAAACCGGTTAATTTCTCGCTATTTCATTCGGTCAAATATTTAATCAACTGCTCGCAAGAATTTTATTCGTATAAATGCAATTTCCTCCAGATCGGACGTGTGCGTTATTCAACAGATACCTCCCTCCCCCCGTGAAAAACTGGTTATATCGTTCAATAATGAATGCGCGTATTCATTCGCGTAGCCTCAGCAGTCAGTCTGAGATATTACATGCATACAGATCAGCAATGGTAAAGAGTTGACAAGAGTTGACAGCTCGTTGATCTGTGCGTTTTCATTTGCACTCTGTCACCTTCAGAAGGGTTTTTTTATCACTATTGTTGGTTGTTTTCTTGAACAGGTGTCTTTAACCATAGTTTTATTTTTCAGGCTTTATGATGAATCAGCCTATCACTTGCATAGCATAGTACGTCTTGATTCCAGATAACGATTGAACAACCACGACGATCGGTAACCAAATCAAGAGATTCGGATGGGCGAAGCTTATGTCAGTGGAGTTGCTCACCGCTGGGATGGAGTGTCAGATACAATAGCTATGCAGCCTTCACCGATTACCCACTTAGATAAGTTACCAACGGTCATCAACAGGACCAGTTTGTCACAATCAAAAGAGATTGATTTAATATTCAAATGAAAAATAAATTCAATTTCTAAAACAAGCTTTCTGTCAGCACAATCTTACGTAACACGTGTTTAAACACGAGTGGGAAGTTGACGTTCAAAATTGGGATGATATTTGGTCGGGTGGAGTGAGTGATCGCACGCCGGACAGAATGAATTGTTTTGTATGCATGTGTGTGGGTATGCACGTTGGTGCACGAAAAAGGACAAACAGAATGAAAACTGATAGGGGGATGATCGATAAGAAAGTTCTATTGAATTGTGGTGGGTAGGTGGGAAGAGTAAGCGGGAAGAAGAAATGAACGAACACAGACAAAACTCCTCGATTGTTCAACAACTTTATCCATTTTTAAACTCGAACCCGCATAATTCTTCCTGGACGAAGGAAATAGTGGTTGGAATTGGACCAACTGATTGAGTTGATCAATATTTCATTACTCATCTATGCCTGTTTATGCATGTGTTTGTTGTCTGTCTGTGTGTGTGTGTGTGCACGCGTGTGTATGCATGTGTATAACAAACAGTATAAATCCTGTACAAATATCCACTGGATGCGTACAGTGTAACGATAAGGGAGTAAGAAACAGTCCCGGCTTTGAGCCCATTTTGCTCTTAAAAAGTTGTTTTTCCCTAGTTTTTTTTTCGAGGGCGCGTGTACGTCGATTGTCCTGTCCTGTACCAGTGATCAACACAAATGTCAAAAACCGAGGGGCCTAAACATTGCAATCAGCCTGGAAATTAAACGAGGAACAGTAAGATGGTGGGTCTGTCTTCAGATGATCGACTGAGTGTGTACAGGAAGGGAGAGGAGAAGGAGTTCATTAGCTTTCGACGTGGACTAAAACAGGCTGGAAATCACCGTCGGCAACGAAAGAAGTGGGGGGAGTGAAACCAATCGGACTGGAACAATGCGATCAATAAAGGAAGGAATCGATTGGTTGATCAACTTACTGAATCTCGCAAAAATTGATGAAAAGGAAAACACGTGGATGTGTACACAAACCTTTGTCGAGTGATTGTGTATTTGCATGCGTGCGTGCGAGTATGATGGGGAGGCGCGCTCGCGCGCGCGAGAGAGGGTATTGGAACAGGGGAGCGGAGTTAGAGGACGAGAAAACAAAAGAGAGCAAAGTAAACAAACAAAATGAAAGGACATGTAACACAGAGGTAGGTTGTTGAAAAAATAAATGCCTATTCAGTAAATTCACACACAGTTACGCCTACGCGCTCAAGCAGGCACGCACGCACACGTACACGACGTATACATACCCACACACACACGCAGAAAAGTTTGCTGTTTTTGACCTACATTAGGCGTATCAAAGTTCAGGGTAGAATAAGGGAAAGGATTACCTGAATAATCAGCCGTCTGTCATCAATGAGGATGGGACCGGTCGCGTAGTTGCTGATCATGCCGTGTTGCGCACGTCTACGACTGTGTGCACAAATCACCAGTTGCTTACCGTTGAGTCAAGAGGCCCATTTTGGAGTACAGTTCTCGACCGATGCCACATAATAATAATCCATAAAGGAAAGCAATCGAACAGACGGTATTGATTGGCAATGTCAGTAGATAGTGACGGAGAGGGAGAAATAGATAGATAGGTAGACTGATAGATATATGTACAAATGCGGATTGGTTGAGCACATAATGCGACACAGAATGTAGCCGATTCGCTTTTCGTGATCTGAATCACAGGGATCCTGTCGATTGACAGAATAAATGTTATCATTAAGGGGGATGGAACTGCCAATGAAGTTCTTTCTTTTGGGCGAAATGAATGTTCAACAATCATTGTTATCAGTTCCGCTATCTGTGTCCAATTTGTGCTTGCTCCCCGGTCGTACGAGTGTTTGAGATCGTTGTGTGGATGAACGACGCTGGATGGTGGCGAAATCACGATACGATCCACTAGTGGGAACTGCCGGGTGCATCATCATCATTGTTTGACCGGATAAAATCACACTGTTTGAACCGCTGCCGGGACTGCGAGATTGACGTAGTCGTGATGGCAGCGTAGCCACTCGATACACATTACCACTGGTAGAACGCATACCGCTTGTAACGGGAGCGTTCGAGAATTGGTGATGGCCACCTGCTGAGGGATAGTTTGACCAACCGATGTTGTGAGTGGGAAAATTCAAAGTGCTGGACGAACCGCGACGTCGGACCGAGGCTAACCTTCGAGGAAACCCGGCAAATTCGTTTTCTGCATAAGTGGATCTTTCTGTGTTGGACATTACTTCAACGGCGTTAGTTAATGAGCTGGTTTCCTCTGTCGGAGTACCGGAATCGGAATTTGAATTTGAATTCCACGTTTCATCGCTAGTTTCTGGATTTGAACCAGGAGGACCATGAACCGTGACAGGTTCGCGAACTCGATCTAAATCGCCACTGAAACTAGTCCGTATACACGATTTATACGGTGGGCCAACAGACGGTAAAGGTCGAACTGTTGACGGCCTCCTGGGAGGGATACGAGGCACGGCGCGAGGATGGGTTCCGAGTCCACGACGCTTGGGAGGTGTGTTTGCACCGGTGGAACTGAGAATTCCCGTATCACTTGTCGGGTAGATATAGCAACGGCCAGTTCGACTGGGGTCTGGACGCATGCTGTGTGCACTGCCAGACTGGGGCATAATCATACGAGATTTACTACTGACTAATCGGGAATTGAGAACAGTAAAACTTTTGGGGCGATGTAACGTGGTCCCGCCACGGGATTTAAACCGCCTCGGATCGGAAAATTGGGCCGCACCGCGGAATAGGTTGTCAGATTTATTTAATGGATTTAAGTTAGTGGAATGTGGTAAAAGACCCGAATCATCATCATCATCCTCATCCTCCTCATCGTCATCTTGTTCATCCCCATCCACATCAACGTCGTCTACATCCTCATCGTTTTCTTCATCTTCGTCCTCTGCATCCTGATTATCTTCTGCTTCCTCGTGATCTAGTGAATCGGTATTAAATTTAGATCGATTGATTGTGGATCGATACCAATGCTCCGGAAGAGCGCTTAACTTTGGTTTTCCTGTCAATTCAGTCATTGAATTAGCTCCATCTGCGATTGGTTTCCCAGCTGCAATAAGCCCTGTAGACGAGGTCAGCACAACCGTCGACGAGGATGACGTTGTGCTATTTGGGACCAAGCCCAAACGGCTTGATCCACCTGATCCATAGTTTTGGTCTGTATCGACCGGATTGATCATATGAGCACCTGGGATGGAGGGATTTTGTGTTTGAGACAGTCCAACTCGGTCCAGTTGTATGCTACCATGAACGGGACACGGGGTAGTGTAGCGGGCTTTCGGAAGTGATATGAGTTGTGGTGTTTTGTGCAATCCTTGTAAATTTGTCACCGGTGATAAACTGGCGTAGATGTGTGTTTTATCACTTAACGCAGTTGGTGGTTGACCGGAAAAGGAAGGACTGCATATATAACTGCCAACCGAGCCGGGTAAACTGACTTTGATCGACGGGGAAAGTTTACTCGCGTCGAACATGCCATACACAGATGATGGGGAACTGAGATCATTGTAGGCAGAAAACCGTGTGGCCAATAAGACAGTTGGCTCAGGCCCATCACATGAGACCAACAGGCGATTTTCTCCGGTGGAAACAGTTTCACGAATAAGTGACCCACCCAGAGGGGCTAAACTAGATCGAGGTGTGGTGAGTGTGGGCACTGTAGTATTCGTAGTTGTGCTTTGTTCCGACTTGACTGAGGTTACTATGATTGGTTTAGGCAACGCTTGGTTCAGTGGCGAATTACTTCGTGAGACCGAATGAGGACACAGCTCGATCCCCGCAGTTTCCTCACCGTTCTGACTTCGTGCATCGTTCGTTCTGACCCCACTCGCGTCCAGACCTTTCTCACGTGATTCTTCCCCATTTTGTTTTGTGGCCGATCCCGGCAATTTTTGGCAACCGTAACAACTTCGTAATCGATTCACCTGATCTTTACCCACAATTCGTTGGAATGTCTGATCTGCCTGCGAACGGGGGTCACAACAGTAAAAAATTCCCACTCCGATAGATGTAAGCAGAATGAATAGAATTCCAGCACCTACACCAGCATATATCCAACTTTGATGAGTAACACTTATTCCAGTCAACTCCAGATTACCTGTCAGACCGCCTTGATTGTCTGTGTCCAATGAGGCATCGTACGGAACAACGGTAACATGATAGGTAGCTGTAATTTCTCCAGGATAACCATCCAAAGTGCAGCTGATTGCTGTGGATTCTCCAACCCGAGAGAATTGAGCATACAATTCGGATACGAGTGTTTCCTCAACAAATTGATTCAGTACACTGAAATGGGAATCGTTTTTTATTAGTGCGCCATCTTTGAACCACGAAACAGACGCTTTTGGATCAGCGTAGAATTCACAGGTGAGTTTCGTCACTTTACCGACCATCAGTGAGACATTTTGGTGTGCAGTCAGCAGTTTCGGAGCGCNGCAGTCAGCAGTTTCGGAGCGCAGTGAAATTCCGAAAAATCAATAGTTCCAACAGGGTCAGAACCAAAAAGTTTCCGATCTCTCAGTGGTTCGGGACTGAAACAAATTGGTTCGCTGATAACCTGACGACCATAGCGATTCACGTGTTGTTGCAAATAGACTAGCCCAGTTCGAGCTTGACGTCTTAAAAACCACGTACGTAACCAACGAAGCTGACAGTCACAATGCCATGGATTTCCCCCCAGATATAGTTCCTTTAGTTCAGGCATTAGATCCAACTGGTTAGCCAAACTGACTGGTAAAGTGGTCAGTTTCGCATAGCTTAAATCGAGTAGACGAAGATATCGAAGACCCGCGAAAGCTTGACGTTCCACATGCATTGCTGCACTTTTGGTGGATCCAAGCCATAATCGATGCAACGGGCTCGGAATTGCAGATCCAGGTGTTGTGAAGAACAGATCAGGCACAATATCCAGTGGATTCTCAGCCAAATTGAGCATTTTCAATCGGGGTAAACTGCGTATTACCTCGGCCGGTAGACCATTGTAGCCCAACTGCAGTGAGTTGTTACGCAAATTCAATTGAGTCAGATTTGTGAGTGATTGAAATGCATCCAGCATAATGCGACGTAGTCCACTGGATTCGATGGCCAAAGTCTGCAAATGGACAAGTTCCCGAAGTCCCTCGGCACCGAGGACGGAAATAAACTGATGAGTCACATGCAATTCCACCAAATTACTCGGCAAATCTGATGGAATTCGATCCAATCGTGATGTTTCCGAATCACAAATTGCTTTTTTCCACTTAAAGTCCGGTAGGAAAAACACACTACAACCTTGCACAGCATCCACCTGACCGTTATCCCACAAACACATAAATACCAGAATAATGATGCATAGAAGGGGAATGTTGAGCGACGTAGCAGTTGTTGTACCAGGAGGAAGTGGAGGAGAGAATGGCATACTGCTGCAGGTCAACGAATTTCGACATTGGGTGGTGAAACATCGGAAGAAGAGCCACGTGAACAAATGGCTGTACACATTTGTCATATAAAAATTTTCTTTGATCTCGCCCGTAATGAATGTCCAGTTGATTGCCGTGTTCGTGGGGTAAACTGCTCGCTTCCAGTCACCCACTGTTAATTTGTTTTTTACACACAAACGCAGTGGTCGCACGGGTCCATACTAAATCCGCATGACATTAGGTTTGTCAATCCCGCCTAGACATTATTGATCTGGTTCGCACAGCAGCACGGTGTTCGTGTTCGACTCCGTGTGTTCACAGGACACCATAATTTGATAATTCCAAGCATGTGACTTGCTCATTCACTCACACACACACACGCGTATGAGTAAATACGAAACATCAATCATCCGCGCGCGCACACGCACGAACACAACAAAGGGGTACTCACCCACGCACACACACAGATTGTCTAAGTGACAACTATGATTGATACTTTCATCGAAGTGAAAAACATTAATGATAATATTATGACTATCATTGAGATCAGTAAGGCCAATGGGCAACAGCGATCGAGGCTATGCTCACTGTCGTGCTAATGCTACTGTCATGGCTGTTACACACACACACACACACACATGCACTTGCCAGGATGCGCCAGTGTGTGCACGTGCGTGTGTGTGTGCGCGCGCGCGCTTCCTTGCGCTCACGTGTGTTCCCAACGGAGAAAGCGCACCAATTGGTTAACCGGTTGTGTTGGCTAGACATTCTCCACCCGACCGGAAAATGAGTGTGAGCCGGACCGGTTAGTGGGTCAGTCAGTGTTGACCAGCGCGGTCGATGCGTACACGGTGGGAGTCTCAACGCCCACTCCAAATTGTACGACCGGAATGGACAACTAACGTTTGGCGGACAATATCACAATAGCACATCGCACACACACATGCAGAGTGCGTGCGATTACGGTTAGATGTACATTTAACTCGCTGTTGGGTATCCTATGCCAATGGGTAACCGATTGTATTTCTCGGTATGAAATCTGTGTGTGTGTGTGTGTGTGTGTGTGCGTATTTACCGGGCCATATAATTAAGTGGCCCAAACACATCGGACAATCCAATAGTGATCACTACGCGCTCATGTGCACCCGTGCGCCATGCGCTCCTTTTATGCCCCGTAGATGACGGTATCGTATGACCGTATGCCAATCGCTTTCACGGATGCGTGCAACGGGAGAGAAATCTGGGCAACGCGTAAACGTTCAGG